TCCGCCAGTGGCAGGTGTTGAACTTGGACTTATCCGGTCCGGACTACACGAGGCTATGCGTCTCCTAGCGCTTAGCTGTAGTCGCTTATGTAGTATGTTACCATATTTGGGACTCTCTGCTCGTGTACTATAGCTATGCTTCCGGACTCTTCTGGTACTGTCTAGGACAATCCGTACTACTCCAGAACGGTCTAGACAGGTCTATGCCTTACTCATCTCTTACTCATCCTATGGTGCGATACGTCGCAATTCTTTCACCATCGTATTATTCATCGCACTATGGTACATGTGACTAACCACTCTTCGATTAGTCATGGACACTTCTCTGTAGTATATAAGGACTTCAGATTGTGTCCTCCCTCTTAAGTCTTTCCTTACTGACTGAAGATCTTGCTTCGACTCTAGTCGGATCTAATCCTTGTCTTCACAGCCCCGAGTTTATCAGCAGGGTTCATGCCATGAGGAGCGCACAAGTCTTATATTTTCCGTAAACGATATGACGTGACCATAAGTACTGGAAAGCCGGGGTGCAGCTTCTGTGTATACAAGTATTACAACGTCTTCGCATTCTGGGGTGTATTCTCCTATATTATTGAGATTTCTCTCGCTCAGTTCTATGCTCTCGACTTGCATTCGGAGGATAGCTTCAGTCGAGACCTAGTACACGCACCGTGAAGCCGACCTTTGCGCTGGCACAAGAAATTCGCAATAGGCGCCAAGGGGATCTAGTGGCAATCAGCAGTGCCTTGCTTGGCCAGATCATGTGATCCCCGGAGTCCGGCGGAGTCCGCCAGACTCGCTGGACTCAACGGTCTCGATGTTCTCAAGAGTCGGGAGAGCTCACCCGAGTCGGGGCCGGCGGGTCGGCAGCTTGAAACCATCTCCGAGACAGCCACAGCCATCCTTCCGGCATGTTCATTGCAACCATCTTGCAGCTGACGCTGCTACCTAGCTCACCATCTCCTTACCCCAACGTCCTGTCTCTGACCTGCTTTCTCGCCCTGCTCTACCCGCGCTGGCCGAAATGGACACTGACATGCTCACTTATCCCGACGAAGGCCCCGCACTCACCCCTAACGACTCCGTCCTCGCTGAGGTCTCCAAGCTTAGCCTCCAAGCTCGCCAGCTCGATGCCCGCGGTAGCTACACGGAGGCTGAACGCCTCCTCCAGCAGGCTCTCGACCTCGTAGATCCCGCCGTTCCGTCCCCGACCCTCGCCAGCCTCTGGAACACTCTCGGAGAGCTCTATCTTCACATGGGAAAGCTCGATGGTGCAGAGCACTGGTTCGAGAAGTCCCTCGATGTCAGCATCATCACCCACAACTTCAAAGAGATCACCACCAGCCGGGAGAATCTCGCGCGCGTTCACCGCATCCGTAGCGAGCTCCTGAAGGCGAAGGCTCTCAAAATGCTTGGTGCCGCCGACGATATGTGCTGCAGCAATCACGCCGTACGTGTCTCTCTTTGTCCGTTAAATAGGAGCCGTCAATAACCTTTGCGCAGTGTGCCAAAGGGCTACTCAGAAGTCCTGGCCTCTCCATCTGCGGAGGTTGCAAGGTTAGTCAGCGTTCCTCAAGCACGGTGAAGCACATACTGCAGCGTCGCTCACAAATTAATTGTTGCCAGGGCGCATTCTACTGCTCCCACGAATGCCAGGTGAGCTGCCGTCAGTGTGTCTTTTAAGTTTCAACCTTGCTGACCTGTTCGTCAGAGGGAAGACTGGGAACGGCATAAGAGACGCTGCCGTCGTGACCTTGCGCCAGATGCCGTTTAAGCGCACCCCCCCTTTGACATCTGTTATACCCCGGCCGGATACGAATATTCTACACCATGCGTATTGATTAGGAGGACATATAGGAGTAATAACTTACGCCCAAGGACTGTTCCGGATATTCCCTTGTGCAACACGACGTAGTCGTAATCTTGATTGCAACTACGAAGCTGCATAAGGGACCATATTTGTATGCATAGAAAGACGCCATGTTTGCCTTCATGAGCCGTCCGATGTATCCCTAGAGAGAGATGCCGTATCCATATGCGTGAACTGCCGTTATGGCTTCAAACCCAACGCCGCCGTGCCAATCAACCATGAACCAAAATCAATCAGACGCCACAGGGTCTACCTGAAGCCCATCCGCCGCGCGTACTCCCGCTCCTCCTCCTGCGTGAGCTCGTCCGTACCCGTCCAGTTCGCCGAGCTCGTCCGCGCACGGAACCGGCTGTGCCGCGTCCGGAAGATCTCCTCCATGCGCAGCGGCCTGATCTGCCCAAAGATGTCGTCCGGGTTGATCGTGCTCTGCTGCTGTAGCGCTGCCGCGATGTCCGGGCTCTTCGCCCAGTCCGGCAGGTCGCGCTTGGGGCGGTCCTCGTCTTCTGAGTCCGAGTATTCGCTGTTGATGTCGGGCAGCTCGATGCTCTCGCTCGCCACCCGCGGCGGCTCCTGCGCGGGCGGCGGGGGGCCAGTGGGAGTCTTGGAGCGCAAAGGCTCTGCAGTGTCCTTCTCCTTGCCCTTGGACGCTGCGGGTGGGGGAATCTTGAGATTGCTTGATGAAGGCATGTGCTTGACGGTCTTCTGTGCAGGCACCTTAGATGCACCAGGGGTGACAGGAACCGAGGAGCCAGAAGGACCTGCAGTAGGCTGCTTGAGTGCGGACTTCAGCACGGGCTTCGACGAAGCGCCAACGCTAGGCTTAAGGGTCCGAGGAGGTACGGCATCCTTCTTCTCCTTAGACGGCGGTTTCTGAGAAGTCGTCGCCGCCACCTTGCGTTTGGAGGTGTCGTCCTCGTTCTGCCCGATGGTCAGGCGCACACAACATCATGATGAGACACATATCTCACCTTCTTTGGCGCAGTCGCGGCCCTGCTCAGGGGACGCTTGTCTGTGTGCTCCTCCCGCTCACGCTTGCGACGTTCTGTCTCCTCCTTGATCTTGCGCTCTTCCTCGATCTGCCGAGCCTTCTCTTCCTCCGCCTTGCGCTGGATTGCTTGCTGCCGGCGAGCTTCCATCTCCTTCAACCGCTGTGCCTTCTTCTCCTGCTCCTCTTGTTGCTGTGCAATGATGGAACATCAGTACAAGATGCGACTTGAATGAGCGAGGCAACGAACCTTCTTCGCAGCAGCGGCAGCGAGCTGGAGGCTCTTAACCTCCGGTTTGGCTTTCTTGGCTCCACCACCAAATACGCTGCTGACCAGCTTACTCGCCTGGCCAAAGAGGCCCAAATTGGACTGCGACGAAGCCGTCGAAGCCATCGATTGCTGGCTGTCGCTACGAGGTTGTGAGGATGTGTCAGATTTCTGCTGATGTTATGCGACAAGAGAATATCAGCTCCATGCTCTAACCCCAGTACCAGAGGAGCGCTTACCTGGACGAGCTTGATCGTGGATTTACCTGCAAGGACCGCCTCATCGAAATCCTCTTCCTCTTCCACCTTCTCCTCCGCGTCGTCTTCGTCGATCTCCATGGCCATATCCCCCTCTCCAACTGCACCGTCCTCCACATCCGACGGCTGCTGGTCCGCCGCAGCCAACCGCTCCGCAAAGCCGCGCTCCGGATCGGGCTCTTCTCTCTCTTCCTCCTCCTCCTCGTCGACCTCCTCTGTCGGGAACAGGCTCTGTGTCGCCTGCGTGTCACCCCCCTTCTGGCTCGTGCTCCGGCTCGGGATCGTGCTCCACGTCATCGTGTCGTCCTTGAGCTGGTCCGGGTTCGCGCTCTGGAACCCGAACGGCGTCCACATCTGGTTGCTCGCGAACTTCTCATCGACGCCCCAGCTGTCATCCGCGTCAAGCTCGTTGTCGTCATCATCATCGTCATTGTCATCCACGACGCCCTTCGGCTGCGATTGCGATTGAGCGGCGGAGTAGGACGTGTCCTGCGTGGACGGCATCCACGCGGGCGAGGCGTTGGTGCGGTCGAAGACGACGTCCGAGAAGGCGCTCGCCTTGCTGCTCTGCGCGGACAATGGCTGGAATTTCATGCCCATCCCCAACGCCATTGCGGCAGGGATGGAAAACGGATTCTCTGTAGGGAGCTTGTAGTCGCGAATCGCTGCAGGCGCAGACGACTCCGTACGAGCGGAAGGTGCGGGAGCCTGTGCAGGAGGCTTCGAAAAGACGGGTCCGGTGTGTGCAACGAAGCTCGTATTGCGCGAGCGTGGCGGGGAGTTCGGCGGAGTGGTCGAGGCACTCGTGTCCGCACCTGGCGGTGTTGGCTGCCTGGCTTGTGCCGTGTCCTGCTTTGCCTTCGGCTTTGACTTTCCCTCGGACGACGGGATGAGGTCCGACACGCTGAGCCTCCGCTCGGACTCGGTGGGGTCTGTGGGAGCAGTCTGAGTGTCGACAGGCGAAGACTTCTTCTCTTCGGACGTCATCGACACGTCGCCCAACTCGAGCTTGTGCCTCTCCGCTACCCGCGCCTCAGCAGCAGCCCGCGCTTCCGCAAGGGCGGCGGCGGCGTTACCGCCAAGGGATTTGCCCATGCTCTTGCCCGTCCGTGCCTCGTAGTTCTTTTTCAAGATCGTCGCGAGCATGTCATCCTGCTCAGCTAGCACAGCGGTGGCTGACGTAGGCACGGTTGTTGCAACCCCAACGATCTCCGCTGAAGTCGTGGGCTGCGCCGGGGCAGCATGGAAGACCTGAGCACGATGAGGTCGGCTTATCAGTGGCTCGACGAAGCATGAGCTTAACACATACCGTGTCTAAACTTGGAGCTTTGCCCTTGCCCTTGCCCTTTCCCTTGTCTGCATTGTCGTCCCCAGCAGGAGAGTTGGCAAGTTTTGGCACTTTCGTCGCACGCTCTTCCTCGTCGAGAGACCTGAGGACAGCATTCGCAGCTTCGAGCATCTCACTGCTCTTCCGTTTGTTGGCAGCGAACGTGCCGATGCCTGGGTCGAGGGTACTCTTCCTCTTCGAAGTGGTCTCCAAAGCCTTCGTCTCGCGCGCCTTGGATAGCCATGATGTCGAAGTGCGCTTACCGAGGGCCGGAGCCGCAGTCGCCCCTGTCGAAGAGCCTGCTGACGCATCGCCCGGTGGCCGCAATGACTTCCGAAGAGGAGACGGTGCAGGGAGCCCGGTGAACTGTGCCACGCTAGGTTTGCGCGACAGTCCAGGGACGGGGGCCGAAGGCTCTTCGCGCAAGGGCATAGTGTACTCCTCATGCTTCGATGACGAGGCCGGTAAGGGAGCCGTATGTGAATGCAGCTCCTCCTCCACAGGTACGGGTGACAGCGACACCCTCGGAAGGGGTGCTGTGTGGAAGTCCGCTGTGCGCGCCGATTGTTGTGCTGGCTCCGGTTCGCGTCGCGGACTGAGTGGAATCGTATGGAAGGTGGCTACGGAGGCAGACGTCACGTCACCTTGGGGAGGCTGCTCATCGTCCGCCATTGACATGTCCGCGTCGTCCGCGATATCGTCCTGCATACGTACGTCATCAGACACAGCCTCTTCTGCGTCGTGGAAGACATCTCGAGTCTCGTTAGGTCTCCCAGGCTCGGGGTCAATTCCCACAGCTGCCGGCTTGGCGGATAGCGGAATATCAAGAGATACTCGACTCCTCTCCGCTAACTCATCGTCCTCCACAATCATTGAGAGCTCGTTGGTCGCGTTTACAGGAACTTCCAGGGATGCTCCCTGGCTCGCGACTTGTGCCACCGGTTGTACGACGCTGAATGTAGGAGCAGGGATCGGTTTGTGCACTTCATCCACGTCCATGGCGGCGTCGGACACCTGGACCGCTGGGCTGTCGGCGATGGTGACAATCCGCTGGTCCTTGACCTTTCCAAGGGGCTTGTTCGGCAAAGACCGTTCTGCGGAGAGTTGGTGGGAAGACCGCTTCTCTTGAGTAGAATTACTCCCTTCCTTCGCTTGTAAGAGAGCCTTGTGGAAATTGTTCAAGGGCGCGTGGTTCTCCTTCGCCTCACCATCCTTCGAGCACCCGTGAGTGTTGGGGCGAGGGAATGCGCGAGAGACGTACCTCAAACGACATAGATGTCACAGCGTTGATCTTCGCCGCTGCAGCAGTAGCTGCACGAGTCTTGACCGCGGTGTTCTTCTTTCGACCGGGAGTCTTGAGGAGTTCAATCACAGGTCTACAGCGACAGATCAAAAAACTGTGATTCGCTAGAGGTTGATAGCCAACCACACGCACTCTTTCGTTGGCCCATCCAAGAAGTTCTCAAGATACATGTCGAGGAAATCGAAGCCCTCCTTCTGTATTTGTTCGTATAGAAATTGGCGGCCGGGGTCCTTCGCCATCGTGAACCGTATCGAGTTGCACCAGGCAATGACGCCTGCCTCACCAGGTCTCGAGCCATCCATGGCGGAAATTCGTGAGCAGATGAGGGGATGGGAAGTAGCGAACGCGTCGATGTGGTCTTGAGGGAGGAACTGCTTGAGTGGCAGAGCGCGTTGCGCACTGGTGGTTCATCCCACGCGTCGGTCATGTGACTGCGACTACCCGTCGTGTCGCGATTGGCGCTCCCGGCGTGCATCTTCGGCCCGTCCGAATCGGCTTCCTCCACGCTCCGCATCCTAACATACTAAGTACGGTTCCAGCAGACACGCCCACATAATTTGCGGTACGGCAGATCGATTCAATGTGAATCAGATTTTCTACCCGCCCATCCAATCATATCACGGGGCTCTCTCGATCTCACTACGTCCTCGCGCCGAGGCGCCTGATCCTCCATAGTCTACAATAACTCAGTGAACCCCAAACATTTCACGGCAAAGTCAAACGAAAACTTCTCAGTTTGACAGTATCCCTTTTAAGAGTGTGATTCTCGCCCTCGAAGAATATGGACACCTTATTACCCTTTGGATGGCCCTCCTCCGTAGGCGGGCGTGAAACAGGTTCTGGACGCAACGGCATCTCGGCGATGGAGGGAATGCTTTCATAGCGACTGGCCTTATGTGGAAGCCTATGATACTGCACGAAACAGTAGATGACTTGTTCATTATTATGCTCTAAAGAGATGTGACGTGACTTGAAGACGTAAACGAAACAGAGCGGTACTACTAGTATGGGAAGAGATTTTGGATCACTGGCTTATGTAACAGCACAGCTTCGTGCCTGTGCTTCCTGTTTGGGACCACAGCTACGCCAACCTCGACAATGACCAGCCGTTCGGCACCTTCAAGTGCAATCGATTCTCGCCCGTCGTGTATTCCGTGAGAAGTCAGAATTGCTCTACTAGTACACTCGAGAAAACCGCAGATACCAGGACCAGACTGATGTCTCGGAGATCGCTGCCATGTGTCCTGTCCCTGATCTTCTGCATGCAACATGAGACTAGCTTTTGTTTACCCGTGGCTTTGCCGCTCTTGCCTGCTGGATTGAATAATTGGATTGGTTCTTCTTATCGCAAGCTTAACACATTGTAAGGATTCAAGCAAATTACAGTATAGGTACCCAAAATGATGTTTTAGGCTCTATCATAATATAGGTTTTGATTTTTGGTTGTCGCTTTACAGCGGATAGCATATTGATAGGCCCCTTCGAAACAACCATGCTCAGGTTGGTTGGGAGCCGAACTATATGTGAGTCCAATGGATGCTCTGAGCCCCCGTCGAGCTCACTGCGCAGCAGCAGAGCCCAGCGATGGGAGTTCAAAGTGCCTGAATGGCTCTTTGTAGTGCCCTCCAGTGACTTGGCCGCAGTGAGCGGCAGATTGGACTTGCATTTTGGTCGGCTCGTCTCTGACCTACAGAATGTCAGTTTTCCAGTATGGTTGCACCATGGTCAAGCCGTGTATGGCGCCGCAGTGTATCAGCTCACCTACGCGTCGAAGTTTGTGCTTTGCGAGTATTGCCGAGAAATCTCGCTTACAGGTACATCCAAGTGCGCCTCCGGAGGCTTATCGTCGTGCTCCCCATGCGCGTCGCACCGGGGGATATAAACGTTATCAAAGTACTCTGAGTTACCTCAATCGTTCTCAAACTATCACCAAGACATCATTGGGTCACTTTCACCTCAATATGAGAGCTTGGGACTTTCCACCAACACCCGTGAGGCCATTGGCACTTCTGGAGTTATTTTTGCTTAAAGAAAGTTTGGGCGTTTGCCACACCACAAATGTTTGCCGACAATCGTGGTGCACACCGCAGCGCCATACACGGCTTGATCACGGCGCAACCATACTGGAAATCTAACGTTCCCCTGACCTGAGTGTAATTTTTTGGGGAGAGCTTATCTCCGTGATTTCTGTAAGCTCTCTGAAAGTGAGCAGGTACACCCGTTGCTTTCAGACTGTTGCCCAAAGTCATAATACATAATGATACCTACTTAACTTGTTACCTGTTAAGCAGCCGTTGCATTCTGCATGTGAGGCGCTGTGTAAAATCATCTGTGAGGTTTTCCTGAGTTCAGTATGAGACCTGCTTACTTACTTTTGTACATGTTCAGCTCCAAGTCCTATCAGAGTCAAGCACTCTATAAACACCTTGTTGTTTTCTGCTCAGAAAGTTCAGCATGCAAAAATTCTATTCTTATCATTCCCGGCACTATGCAGCCATATCTACCCTCTGTTATTGTTATGTGTAGATACATATGATATCGAGGTCCAATTTGCCTAGTTGTAATATCTCTGCCCGTTGCACCCTGGCCTCGCCCGTTGAACAGAGCGCCCAACGCGCAGGACGCCCGTGCGGCGCGCTGGGCCCATAAGCGGCGCACATGGCAGCCACGCGGCACCACGTGCTTCTCACGTGGTTTTAGACGCTCCACGGCCCATTCTTTTATGATCGAGTCTGATCGAGGTAGGGCATTTCGAACGTGAGTGCACCACTTTGTGTCACCCATCGGGTCGGAAGCTCCGGGCTACAGAATGACTATGGCCTCAATATGTCTAGAGACGATAACGGCATCTCCTACCACAAACTTGGGGCGCCATACCAGAGGTCCACCGCCTTTCCGATACCTTTCCTCATGTCGCCAGCTCCACCGACCTCTCTTCATGCTTCTTCTTGCCAGGAATCATTATGAAACATTCCGGTACCTTGCAGGCCAACGGACATCGATGATATGTAACCCATAGCACACAGTACGCCACCGTGTCTCGTGGGGCCCTGTCTCTCGCCCATACCTCGTATGGCGACTCTTATGTTTGCACCCAAGGCGTCAGCATGCTTCTAGCTTGTTCAGAGACTCGGGTGCACTTCCCGCACGCCCACTAGAGCGTCTCAAATCTGAGGATAAAAGGCACTCGTGACTATTGCCAATGACTCTGCAAGTCTCGAATCATGATGTTCGATATCATCTCCCCCGTCGCACTCCTCAGCCTCACAATCTTGGTAGAACTTCTAGCGTTCAGATACTTCAGGTCGTCTAGAAAATTGTGCACACTGCCCCTCCCTCCCGGCCCGAAGCGTCTTCCAATCCTTGGGAATGCGCTCGATATTCCGCTCAACAAACAGTGGTTCACTTTCCAACGTTGGGCCGAAGAGTACGGTACGTTTGTCGCAGCCTCGTATCAGGGCACTCCAGGATTGAACCCACCCCAAGGCGATGTCGTATACCTAAACCTCCTAGGACAGTCCGTCGTCGTCCTGAACTCTGCACAAGCAATCACAGACCTATTGGACAAACGCTCAGCTATCTACTCAGACCGCTTCAAGTCCACTGTCGTCCCTCTGTAGGTGTCACCCCGCACTTGTTCCTGCCCCTTCTCATCATTCCGTACCTTCATGCTGCAGCATTGGGTGGGACTGGAATGTAGCTCTGATGGGCTATGGTCTTAAGTGGAGACAGACCAGGCGCGCGTTCCATGAATACTTCCACAGCGGCGTTGTCCAGCAGTACCAGCATACGCAGCTGTCCGGGGCCCGCAAATACTTGACACGTCTTCTGGCAAATCCAGGCAACTTTGTTCAAGACTTACGGTAGTGAGTGGCCATTGGCTGGCTGCCGCCAGATTAGCATATAACGCTACTGAATTTCATGGGATGACAGCGATCTTGGCGCTACCATTCTCGAAGTCTCGTACGGCATCAAAGCCAAAGACACCGGCGACGAATATATTGCCATCGGCGAACGGGCAGTGGAAGGGCCGACCAAGGCTCTGGTGCTCGGAGCTCTCTGGGTCGAGTTCATCCCTGCACTGCGTCATCTGCCTCCTTGGTGGCCAGGTGCGTCGTATCTGAGGAAGGCTGGGACATGGCGGGAGGAGGCACTGGCCCTGAAGAATGTTCCTTTCACAAAAGCAATGTCGGACTTCGTCAGTGACCTTGCTTCCGTATCCTCACCATCCTTGCACGCATACTCACGATGGGCCTTCCCAGCGAGACGGCGCGGGATTCTGGTCAATCGCTAGCGATATCATGGCACAAGACCACGGCCTTGGCGATGCACTAGAGAAAGAAGAGTTAGCCAAAAACGTCGCCGCAGTCACCTATGGAGGTCAGTCTTAAGAGTACTACAATTGCGTCGTGACAATTGACGTCTCCACAAGCTGGCGCAGATACTGTGAGTGCTCGACCCGCTCACATGCTCATGATCGTCTCGTATGTCATGCTAAAGAGCGGTGTAGAGTTTCTCCACTCTCCAAACCTTCTTCCTCGCCATGGCGCTCTATCCGGAAGTGCAACGAAAGGCCCAGGCAGAGCTTGAAGCCGTCGTCGGCCCTCACCGGCTCCCCGAGTTCGACGACCAGAAGACATTACCATATATTCATGGGATCGTGAAGGAGTGTCTACGCTGGCAGAACGTCTTCACGCTCGGGCTTCCGCACCGCTTGATGGAGGAAGACGAATACAGGGGATACCGCATCCCCAGGGGTTCGATTGTGCTCGGCAACATCTGGTACGTACCAGGACACCATCGCGTCGCAGTATCGACTGACTATTGCTCTCAGGGCAATGTCTCGAAACGCAAATGCGTTCCCAGATCCGGAGGTGTTTATTCCTGAACGTTACTTCAAGGAAGACAGGACGTGGAGTGCCGACGTCCCTGATCCATCTCTTTTTGCATTCGGCTTTGGAAGGAGGTACAATGTTGCCCTCCACAAATGTGTGGATTCCGCTTATTCTTTGCTCTAGAGCGTGCCCGGGTCGTCATTTTGCGATCGCAACCATCTACATCTACGCAGCGTCCATCCTGCACGCGTATAGCATCAGTCCCAAACGAGACCTCGACGGTAAGCCTATTGAGATCAAGGCCGATATGGTGTCGGGCGTTGTGACGTGCGTGTTCTATGCCAGGTCGGCTTGTGCAGCCTACTCACTATCGTAGTTCCACAGATATCCGGAGAAGTTCGATTGTGATATCACACCTCGCTCTGCTGATGCCAAGGCGTTGGTCGGTTTCTGTGAGACTGAGGGAGGATCAATGTGTTCTTATTCAGACGAGGCAAACATTTAGAATGAATGATTAGACGTCATTTGAAGAACCGCTCGAGGTTTTGCCTTTCATGTACGGTATTGACGAACTAAGGAGAGCAGTTATATGCCTGTTAGGGAAAGTTCGAATCGATCATAGGACGCAATGTCATCTGTGATATGAGCTGATCGCTGTCGGTTAAGCTGGGTCGGAGGGAGACAAGCCTAAAGACATCAGCACTCGTCTCATTCAACTGAGGGCCGATGACCTGAGCGAAGGCTTTCGGACAATACGTAGCAGAGATGCATTAGAGAGTATATACTACCACGAGTGAAACAAACTCTCCTTAGCAGCTGCCACTGACTGTGTTCTGAAAAAAAGGACTCACGCATACATATACCCGACCCCAAACGACCTTATAGCTCCGGTGTCCGGTTCCTCGCCTTCCAATCCATGTTCAGTTCCCGGTAGCACTTAGGACAGATATTATGCGCCAGCTTCGGCGAACCGCAAGCCTGACAATGCACCAAGTCTAGAGAGTCGAATTTAGCAAACCGTGGCAAACCCTGTCTCGCGACAAGCATTGTATTGGACCCACTTTGCTTGTCCTTCAAGCCTTTGTTGGCGCTCCTCATCGCCTTTCGTGAGTGTGACGTCTTCTTTTTCGGAACGGCGAGGAGCCATGGCGGGAACAGCTCGAGCAAGGAAGGTAATGAAGGAATAGCCCAAGTGAAGGGCTTCGGAGAGGCCAGAAAAGCAGGCACAAGGGCCGCAGTGAGAGAAATGCGGGAAAGCGGAAGTCTAGCCGCTGCTGAGAGCCATGTCCGAGACTGATGAAGAGCCAACGCGGCCGCCATGGTCGTCGAGGTGAGGAGACAAGAAGGTACCCGCTGGTCAACTGCTTGCCGTCTTGGAGTGCGCCCGGGCGCCTGTGTTGTCGCGCTGGGCGTTCCGCGTCTCGAGCGCCGGTACCTCTTACCACCACCATCGTCCGGGCACCGCGATGTTACGCTTCACACGTCCTCTACTCAGTGCGTTCACAAAGAACTCGACTGGGATCACCGGCCTCAGAGTACATCATGACCCACTCCCTGAGCTGAAGAAGACATACGAGGCGACGCTTCAGACGCTCTCCGCCATCCCCTCATCATCCGTCTACCGGCAAGGCACGGAGGCACTCACACAGCACAAGCTGAAGGTCTTGGAGCGCGCGAACGGGGATGTCACCGCGGTCGAGAAGGAGCTAGACGAGGGCCAGATAGAGGAGCTGTTGGACGTTGCTCAGGATGAGCTTTCACTCGCGAATAAGATATTGGAGTGGAAGGCGTGAGTATGCTTGTCGTGTTTCATCCAAACGCTATCTCATCCGCGTCATCTCGTAGCTGGGAGCCACTAGAGGAGAAGCCCGCACCGGGTCAATGGAGGTACTTCGGGAAGGAGGCTAATGCGACGACATCAGCTTAATGGGTGTACTTGCAATGCATTACTCGTTTTCGTTGCCGCCTCAGATGCAACCCCGTATGCGTGTATGACCATAGTCCGACATGCGCTATCGGCACATCTACCACTGTGCCCATCTACTTCTGGTACATCACAGCCCACTCGTCCCGTTGACTCCGCATAGTCACTACGTGAGCTTCGGCTGGCAAGAAGTCAACCACAGTAATGGAATCTGGTCGCTGAGTGAAGGCCTTGGGCGTAGGGAGACTGGGGCAAGCGGACTTCGAGATCTTGAGACTTACTAGCAAACGAAAGTAGTACTTACTGAGGGACATCCAATTCGAAGGGACAAAATGGAAAAGAAATCGCTGACAGCAGGATTTGAACCTACGCGGGCAATGCCCAAGTGATAATGAAACAAGTTCAAATCACTCGCCTTAACGACTCGGCCATATCAGCTTATCGTCCTGATTGTCTCATGACCGCCATCAATCGGTTATTGAGTGGCGCGGCTCGATACATTCCTGCAGGCTGCTGCCGCAGGGGTACACGCTTTCGACTCTGGAACGCCATAACACACAATCACCAACACCCGCCAGGGTGCCCATTCAGCACAATGGACTCCCTGATCCCATTCACAACCTCAGGATCTCTTGTGGATTGCGTCGATAGTACGTCTATCCCAAGTCCACATACTCAAGGTGCAACCTGAGCCCATATGCCTTGCCACTCCCCTCCCCTCCTGTATCGGTTTCCGTCCTCTTGGCTCCGGTCAGGGAAGATGCTAGTAGTCCTACGAGACGGTCGGAAGCTCCAAGGAGTTTTGAGGTCGTATGATCAGTTCGGTGAGCACCCTCGTTTTCCCCAAGCATTCGGAGTCAACGTCGCTGACGGATTCATTTATGGGACAGCGAACCTTGTGCTAGAGGACACCGTGGAACGAATATACCACCAGGACGTATTCGCAGAAGTATGGAGAGGACTTTTTCTCATCCGAGGAGAGAACGTCGTGTTGCTGGGAGAGATAGTCAGTGTCTCGTGTGCTTCTGTGGAGAGCATTGCTGAAGGCTCGGACTGTAGGATCTAGATCAGGAAGACGAAATTCCGCTGCGCCAGGTAGAGTGGGCAGTGCTGGAGGCCTATCACAAGCAAGACATTGCGGACAAGAAGAAGCGTGAGGACATCAAGTCGCAGGTCCTGTATGAGCAGAAGGGCTTCTGCAAGGAAGGAGGAGAGGGAGACGGCTACTGATTCACGCTGCTCGCCGGACTCGTCCCGCGCCCGGTCTGTCGTTCCCATTCATTGTCTCGGTGCACTCCAGATTTAGGCAGATTCATTACGCCAGGGAGTCATCAGCTTATTGTATTCATGTCCTTGTTGTCGTATCCAATATTGCTGGCATTGCGGTTGCATAATCGAGCATCTAATACATGTAGGACGCACTTGTGATGCATGCGAGACGACCCCACTATGACAGGGTTACAGTGCGAGAGCAGGATGCAATCCGAAGAGTCCAATGTCTATGAATTATATCGACAGTACGGTATGTCAATGCTTCTGCTTGCCCTTCTTCCCGGACGTTCCGTTGGGCCTCGCCTTGGTCCCATTCACTCCCTGGTGTCCATTCGGCGGATGGAGAGATCCTGGCATGACCAGCTTGCGAACCGGTGCACTCGTGACGTCCTCCAGCTGCGTCCGAATCTCACGCTCCTCAGTCGTCAACTGCGACATCAACCTCTCGTTCATCTCCATATCGCATTCAATTTCACTTGCGCGAAGCTTTTGCCACCTGTGCAGAAGAGCGAAAATCATGAGCACGTTGCTACGTAACAAAGGGAGCAACGTACCCAGCGTGGCGCTGGCATTTCTTCTTTCCCCTGCACCACCACTCCCCGTGCTCTTCAGCGTCATCAACGTGCATTGGGTCGTCCACGGTGCCGTTCGACCGAGAATTCGACTCCTCGTAGGTCTCGAAGACTCCCTCTGCGAATTCGGCGTACTCCTCTTCGTCGAAGACAAGTCGTTGATCCCAGCCACACTCGTCTACCCTGTCCGCACGAGCAGCGGCGAGTCGCAGCAGCTTCTGCCGCCACAGGATCACCTCAAGCTCCTTCTTCAACTCCTCACGCTTCGGCGTGATCTTGTTGAGCTGTGCTCGCAAGCGAGCAATGGCGCGGTCTCGCTGCGTGTGAATTGGCCTCTGGACCTCGTGCGCTTCCTGCGCCACAGAGTTGACCGCTTGACCTGGGTGCTTGCCACCCGTATTGAAACCATTGGGTCCGCCAATCACTTGAACTTTGACGACGACACCCTCGCGCTGCTTCGTGTCTTGAATGCTGGCCCAAAGCATAGCTGCGTCTCCACCCCACCCTTGGATACGTCGTTGCATGTATGCGACGCCACACTCGTCCGAGCAGAACTTGGAGAATGCCCCGCGTGCGGGCTTGTGACATGCGGAAGGAGAGGATGGGTGTGGATGCTTCAGTCCGGCCATGCATCGCTGCTTGTACGTCGTCTGGAGGGGCATGTTGGGGTTGGCTGCAACCACTTCGTGTCAGCGCCACAGCGAACCATGCACGTTCTGCTGCGTCCTCACCCTTGATACAGAGGGGGCAGACGAACTGGTCAATCAAATCGACCTCCAAATCGTTCATGTTCAAACATTGCGTGTGATACCACTCATCGCATCTATTGTCAACATTCAGCATCCAACCACTGACGGTCAATGCGATCGAACAAAAGAGCGCCCACCTATCGCAAGCGATCATGACCTTGTCCTCATCGTAGTTCGTCTTGCAGATACAATACAGCTTGTCGTCCACAGCATCCTCTTCCGACTCTTCCTCCTCCTCCGGTTGTGCTTTGGGCTTCGGTGTCGGCGTCGGTTCCGCGGGCATGGGCATCTCAGACGCAGAGCGGGAGCGTGAAGGACCTACGGCAGCAGAGACAGCTCGTTTGGCAGCTGCGGCGACCGTAGCAGACGTCGCAGTGGCCTTCTTCCCCTTCGTCGCAGTGCCACTACCGGAGGGTGTCAGCCTACCACTGGAGCCTGCGGTCCCTTCCTTATCCTTCATCGGCTTGACCTTCGGTTTCGGCACGGGCTTTGCC